AGAGGGAGAGGGAGAAGCAGGCTCCCCATTGAGCAGGGAGCCGGACGCAGGGCTCGATCCCAGGACCCCGGGATCATGACCTGAGCCGAAGGCAGACGCTTAACGACTGAGCCACTCAGGCACCCCAGTCATGGGTTATTTAGAAATGTGTTATTTAGTTTCTAAATATTTGGGGATTTTCCAGATATCTTTCTGTTACTGACTTCTAATTTAATTCCACTGTGGTCAGAGAACATATTTTGTATGACTTGATTCCTTTCAACTTTATTGAGACATGTTTTGTGACTCACGATATGGTCTATCTTGGTATCTGTGTACACGTGAAAAGAACATATATTCTACTGATATCGGGTAGAGTGTTGTATAAATGTCGATTATGTTCAAGTTGGTTGAAAGCGCTATTCATGTCTTTTACAGCCTTATTGATTTTTCTGTTTACTTCTATCAGTTATTAAGAGGGTTATTGAAACCTCTGATTATAATTATGGATTTATCTATTCTTGCAGTTCTAATGGTTTTTCTTCAGATACTTTAAAGCTCTGTTATAAGGTCTAAAAACATTTAGGACACATGTACTCTTCATAAATTGACATATTATGAAATGACCATGTCTTCCCTGATAATATTCTGAGCTCTGAAATCTGCCATATTTAATATAAATATAGCCACTCCAGCTTTTCAGAAAAATTTATGTTGGTATGGTATCTTCTTCCATTCTTTTCTTTTTTTTTTAAGTATTTTATGTCTTTGAGAGAGAGTGAGAACGAGTGCATGAGGGGGGTGGGGAGAGGCAGAAGGAGAAGCAGACTCCCTGCTGAGCAAGGAGCCGGATGCAGGGCTCGATCCCAGGACCCTGGGATCATGACCTGAGCTGAAGGCAGCTGCTTAACTGACTGAGCCACCCAGGCACCCCTTCCATTTTCTTTTTAACCTGCTTGCATCTTATATTTAAAGTTGGTTTCTTGTAGGCAACATATAGTTGGGTCTTACTTTTTTATCCAATTTGACAATCTTGGCATTTTATTTATTTTTTGTTTTTTTAATATATTTTTTTATTTATTGACAGTCTTGGCATTTTAATTGAGAAATTAGATAATTTACATTTGTTGTGATTATTGATATGGCTGGGTTTAAATCAACCATCTTGCTGTTTGTTTTCTATCTGTCCTCTTTTTTGCTCATTTCCCCCCCTCTTTTTCTGCCTACTTTTGAATTCAGTTTTATGATTTCTTTATATCCCCTTAGTTGGTTTATTAGCTGTAATTCTTTGTTGTACTATTTTGGTGATTGGTTTGAGGTTTACATCTTTAACCTACCATAGTCTGTCTTCCATTGATGTTATACCACTTTAGGGGTAGTGGATAAACTCTACAACAGTACACTTTCATTTCTTCTCTCCCAACATTTTTGTTATTGTTGTCGTACATTTTTTCTACATAAGTTACAAAACCGTAAACATGGTTATTATTTTTGCTTTAAACAGTTATCTTCTAAAGAGACTTGAAGAATCCCTTCCAAAATCTTTATACTTACTCATGTAGATACAATTTCTGGTGTCCTTCAAATTTTTCCCTCCATCTCTCCTTTTTCTGGAACTTTCGTTACACATATTATTAGGCTATTTGAAGTTAACCCACTGTTGAGTGATGCTCTATTCCAACTTTTTAAGTCTTCTCTCTTTGTGTGGTTCATTTTGGGTCATTTCTT